ATATATATATATATATATATATATATATATATTGTATAGGATGAATAAAAACTAAATTTATTAAATTTATTAAAACTAATAAAAATGACTAAAACACAAAAATTACTAACAATTTAACTAAAATTAAAATGACATGGAAAATATAAAAACAATCAAATAATTTTAAATATTAATAAATTAATATAGTATAATATAGTCTATTATAAGATAGTAGTGTTCATCTCAGTAGTTTAGTAGTACACTGGTGTGCCATTTTTTGTTGACTTAAAACATGTAATGCTAAAATACTGATATCATTTTTTCAAACAGGTTTTTGCTAACCTATTAATAGTGTCACTGCCCCTGCAGAAGTGATGTCTGTGTGTGTGCGTCTGTGTGTGTGTGTAATACACCAAACCTTGGGTTGTCTGTAGTGCTCCATTGACATCGTGAGCACATTAATGGCGATGATGATGGTGATGAAGAGGTCCAGATAATGGCTAGTGCAGAGTGTGTGAATATAGAGGCGTGTTGGAGAGTAGTCTACATACAGTATGTGTGTGTGTGTGTGTGTGTGTAAATATAAGCTATATATAACTAGGTACTATGTACTGACTTGTGGACAAAATAAAAAGCCAGTTAATTACATGATGGTATTAAAGTTGCAGGTCTAAACTAAAAATAGCACAGATTTCACATATGAAACAACAGAACAGGAATGAGAAACACTGTCCACCAGAACCCTGTCATCTTGATAAAATGTGCTTGTGTGACCTGAATCTAAAAAAATATAATGGGTTGCTTGATGGTTTAGAAAAAGGGCAAATGAGAAGGTTGATTTTTTAATAAAAGACACTACCGGTGGACATAATTCATTCTTCGTGAATTCCCCCTTAATGTCTACGTCTATATGAGTGTGTGTAAGTGATTGTGAGTGTCCTACCTGACCCAGGTTATCGAAGTTGTACTTCCTACGGACCCATTTGTATTTAGCCTGCAGGCACTCAGATTTATTGGTGATATTTCTAGTGTCAAAGCCTTCACAATGATAAAACTTCCCCTTAAAGAGCTGAGTAAAAGAAAAATATCTTACATTTAGACAACATTAATACAAACAAACGGCAAATTACAAAGCAAGCAATAGCTCTGATCTGTGATTTTATTTCATAAATATAAATGAACTGAATTTCTTTTAGAAATGTAGACACTAGCAATATGTATGTACCTGAACTCCTAGAATGCCAAAGACAATGAAGAAAGCGCAACAGATCAACACAATATTTCCAATAGGTCTGAGAGATGTGATCAATGTTTCAACAACCAGCTTCAGTCCAGGAGCTCTGCTTATGACCCTGATGACACAAACACACAAAGAAATGCATATTTGGTGTTGCAACAATATCTGAACTCAACGCAAAACCACTGATCTAGAAAGCGTGTGTTAATAAAAGGGCTCAGTGTTGCACAACAAGCTGACGAGACGAGACGAGACGAGACGAGATGTTCTCTAGTGTTAGCCTTGAAATGAATAGGTAAGTCTGCTCAGCAGAATATCTCTCTGTCTGAGAGTTGCCGGTTTTGTTCAGATGTGTCTAAAGGAACAGTTTCCTGACAGTAGCAAGAGATGAAATGTGGTTTCAGCACCATGGACAGCAGCATTATTAAAATGTAGGGATACATTTGATTTTTTCTTCTGATTAAAGTCAGGTCTGGTGAGATGCAGCTTTTGGTTTGAAGTGCAAATGAAATTTGAAAGAGTTGGCAAAGGGGAAGATTTTCAGTATATTAAATATAATTTAGGTCTATTCCTTACACAAAACTACAGTATGATTTAAGAGCGGTGATGCACCATACTTAATTTTTACTGAAACACCAAAAGCAAAGTTAACGTTTTCATTTAGCTAAAAGCTGAAACGGAAAATAAAGTTGATTTAATAATTAAAACTAAAAAAAAAAAAAAAAACAGTTCTATATACTGTATAAGCAATTAAATTACACATAAATTACACCTAAGTCAGTTTTTATATCACTGATATAATTTGTAATCCAATTCATTGCTGAAACATGAACATTTAAATGTTATCTGTAATAAAAACTTGTTTTTATGACAGATTTATTAAAACATACATTCAATTATTTTTTCATATTTCATTATAAAATTGACCAAATTTGAAAGCTGAGACTTTGTTTCATTTTAAAAGTAAAAAAACCACACAAAGTTCAGTAGGATTTTTGGATTGTAGACTTGATAAATACAATGTTTATTGAACTTTTGTTCATGCATCACCTGAAAACATAAAATAAAAGCATAGAATACAATCTTGGTTCATCAAACTGAAGAATCGATATTGTCAGTCCAGCAGTTTCAGCACCGTTTCAGTCAACAATTTCGGCTCTCCAAAACTGTTTCAGCCAAAATGGAAAATTCACTTTCACCTGAATACTTTTGGTTGCCAAAATTCAGAAAATTTAAATGGAGTTGTACTGTATACACAACATTTATTGAGCATTTTTGGAGTTCACCAGCTCTGGCCCCACTTCACTTTCATTATATTGTAAAAGAGCAGTGTGAACATTTTGCTAAACATCTCCTTTTGTGTTCCTTGGAAAAAAGTTGAGTGAATTACAACTTTCAGAATATTACAACAGCCTACACCAGAGGACTTAATGCACTTCTACTCATTCATACACACCTTCAATGAGAGTCTTACCTCAAGGGTCTTAGTGTTCTGAGCAGTCGCAGTACTCGCAAGATACCCAAAATTCTGTTCCCACCAGAGGAGGCGAGAGAGACCAGGATGTCCACAATAGACACAAATACCAGCAGGCCGTCTAGAACATTCCAGCTGCTCTTCAGGTACGAGCCTGGACCAGCATACAGCCCAAGAGAAACCACCTGCAACACCAACAAAATAGCAATCATATCAATGTCCTCTGCATGTCATATTTTTTTTTTTTTACTAGTATATAAAAAGTTATAAAAAAAGTTAAAACAACCAATAATACATAATTAATATTGTATTAATTTCCTACCTTCACAGTCATCTCAGCCACAAAGATCACAGTGAAGATGCAGTTAGACACTTTAAGAAACATCCGCTCCTGTCAAACAAATAAATAAATAGTGAAAATGTCATTTAAAATGGCAACAAATGCACCACATTGGGGCCAATAAAAGAGCAGCTATTTAAGTCACCCAGTTATTTTTTACAGCATTTTTTTTCAACATTTTTATGACTGAGATTGAGGAAATTTTTTAGGACAGTTTGTTTATGGGTTTATAGGTTACATGCAACTTTCAAATGTTTCAAAAGGTTAGAATCATACAGTTCTGAAATCAGTTTAAAATGTTAACCCACATAATCATTTATTATGATAAAAGAATATTAATGATTACATTTAAAAATTCTCTATAAATTTACTAAAATATTGTAAATGTAAAGTTCTGCCAAGTGATACAGTTCATAAGTCTGATAAATTTACAATATTTATATAGATTTGGTCATTAACATAGAATTTAACTGTTGTGCGATCATAGGTATGTATTTATCGGCTATTTTACAGTGGCTTTGAATGCATTAGATTTCAGTAGTTTCAATAATACAGTGACATGTAATTTTAAAAGAATGTTTTTTAAATTAAATTGTGAGTACATTTTTAAAGAAATTAATAATTTTATTCAGTATGGATGCAATAGATCAAAAGTAATAGTAAAGACAATTATAATGTTACAAAATAATTATATTTCAAATGAATGCTGTTCTTTTGAACTTTCTATTTATCAAAGAATCCTGAAAATAAATTAAGCAGCACAACTCCTTTCAGCAATGATAATAATAAGAAATGTTTCTTAAGCATCAAATCAGCATATTAGAATGATTTCTGAAGGATCATGTGACATTGAAGTAATGATGCTGAAAATTCAGCTTTAACATCACAGGAATAAATAGCATTTTAAAATATATTAAAATAGAAAACATGTATTTTAAATTGTACTAATATTTCACAATATTGCTGTATTTTTGGTTAAATAAATGCAGCCTTGGTGAGCAGAAGAGACTTCAAAAATATAAAAAAATCTTCCCCACCCCAAACTTTTGAACTGTTGCATGCATATATAATAGAGCTTGATTATAGCACTAGAATGAGTGTTGTGATTGTGTTCACCGTGCTGTCAGGTTGGATGTCAGGTCTCTCTAGAGCAATTGTGATGCAGTTAAAGAAGATGAAAAACAGCACAATATGATCAAATATCTTATGAGTGATGACCTTTTGACAGCGCATACGGAACCTGCAGAGAACGAGAGAGGAAGAGCAGTGTGAATAGCATAGAAATGTGCAAGCACAGCATTCATTATGTGTTTATATGTGTGTTTTGTTGGTCTGCTGTGTTGGCACTCACTTATTTTGGGGCGAAAATAAGTAAAGTGACCAATCCTCATGGTCTCTACACCACTGGGGTTTATACGGCTCCAACAGTCTCTTCACAATCAGACACCAGCTCTAAATGAAATATAAACATAATAAAAACATGCACAAGGAAAACAAAGAATAGAAATGCATATTTTCTAAGAAAATATATTAGCACATATCTAATATTTCTATAAAATCTGCAATATTTAACAATGCCAAGAATATCTGATCTACGTGACTGATATACTGTAATAGTATAATCAATAATAAAAAATGATTAAAGACAAGGCCCCACCTCCTCAAATTCATCATCATCTGCGCACTGTGTGGATGTTGGATCGGGACGTGTTATGTTGGGAGAGGATGGATAACCTCCATCTATTCTGCCGTTACACTCCAAATATGGGCGTGGAACCTGGAGGAGCTCTGGAAAATCAAACGACCCCAGACACGAAACTCTGCCCAGACTGCCAGTCCTGATGGATTTCCCATCTTCTGATTGGCTGTCATCCATGCTGTCCTGTCCCACTCCTAAAAGCAACGATTCGCACTCCCCTGACTGAGCACGTCTCATTAGACTGGGGGCGTGGCCAAGGCTGTTCCAACTGGAGCGGCGACTTCCCCAAAGGCTGGACTACAACAGACACACAAACTGTAGCTGATTATCACAGGATGCAACAACTGGTGTAGTATGGCAGAAAAAATAAAAAAAAAGAAATAAGTTGACACATATACAATAATGAGAGGGACAATATGGAGAATTTATAACCACTTAGATATGACAATTTAGATGTGTCGATTAATTAATCGAATTAATAGCAAATTAAATTTGACTGTGAAATAGATCATTTAAAGCAATTATTGTGCTAAATGAGAAAGTATCAAGTATAGACATTACAAATTGTAGCTTTAGAAAGAAATATTTAATCTGATTAAACATAAAATGTATTACACATAAACATTTAGGCTACAACGGCCTAAGATAAATTATGGAAAATAAAGGAAGATCATTTATCTCAGTATTTTTTGTTCATACAATGAAAGTCAAAACAAAAATTTAATTCAATTCCAGTTAATTTGTATAGCGCTTTTCACTATACAAATCATTGCAAAGCAACTTTACAGCAAATTATGTTTCTACAATATTTAGTGGTAGCTTATCAGTGGTGACTGTCAATTAATGCACATATGGCAGAAATGTATGGAAAAATCAATTAAAGACAATCAATTTAAAGACGTAATCAAACAGACGATGAACACTATTAACAGCAATTATTATATGATGCAATCAAACTTATAGCAAAATGTGGTAGTTCTGTATGTTGTTTCAGGGTTGGCATCATCTGAGGTCCTCTGAGGGGTTGGCATCATCTCTTCAAAAACTCTTCAAATTGTCTTTGTTACCATTACCAACAGTCTTCAAATTACCTTCTTTTATGTTCCACAAAAGAAAGTTTGAAACGACATGAGGGTGAGTAAATGATGAGAGAATTTTTATCTTTTGGGTAAACTATCCTTTTAATGTTTTTATTTTTATAATTTTTATTTTATTTTTTTAAATTATAATCTAAATAAGAAACTATATCTGCCAGCAGCTGGCAGTCTTTATGAGTCATTTATTCATTTGATTCTTTCAAATGGCTGATTCATTCATGAATGAAGTAAATGGCTCTCTTTATGAATGAGCCTTTGAATCATTGGTTCACACGATTCGTTCAAAACGCGTATTCATTCATAAACTAAACCCCTCCGTGTTGCTCAGAGATGCACAACAATTCTGCTGTGGCTTTAAGAAATATGTTCTCTGCAAAATTGAGCAAAAACAGATAATATTGTGTTTGAAATATAGTACAATATCAACTTCTTATTTACTGAACTGTTGTAGGCTATTAAAACACTTTTAAACTCGTAGTATTCAGGACAAACAGCACTCGTGTGTGATATTGATCTCCCTGCTCGTGTGATATTGCTTATCGTATAATATAAATATGACTCATACAGGGGCATTTTTTGTACCAATATCTTGAATTTTACGGCATAACTGCATTTATGGAGTTGTTGCCCTGCATCATATTTGTCAACAGTCAACTGTATGAAATGTAAGATGATGTACAGATCTGGGGACGGGGCCAGTGCGTTAAACTGACAGCCCTAATCTATACATTAGTGCTGTCTAAATTAACACAGGCGCATTCATTTTTCCAGCTTAATGGTGTTAAAAATATGTAAAATATAACAGCAGATGAAGTTATAGATATCTACATGTGTTATGCTTTGCTTATAGTTCAACAGGAAACCAAAATTACAATCAAAAAAAAAAAAAAAGGCAATAAAAACAATAAGATGCCATAATTAAACCACTTTAACGAAGAAGAAAAAAATCTTCAGGTGAAAGTTTGCGTTTAGTGTGAAAAGCCTTAAAAGGGATCATTCTAATATCAATATAGAACAAAACATAAATTCAAACGTTATGAGACTAACACTATTTGTGTAGGTTTATATGTAATATTCACTCCTCACCAGGGATCTCTGGTCATGCAGCTCAGTGGAGGTGTTGCTGTTGCGTCGTGATTGGCTGTAGATGTGTGACATCTCAGTTCTGGGCGTGGCGTTGAGCTGCATGTGTGTGTTGTGAGGTGGCATGGATGCCCGAGGTTCCAGGTGTCCGTTTGAGATGGGCATTAATGTCTGCATTTTCATCTCTGATCCTAATATCAACAAGAGATTAGCATAAAATAATAAAACACATATAAACATATAAACAGCACACACACACACACCAGAGTTCAGCAGTTCTCTCAGTTTGTCCTCATCCCCATAGTCAGACGACATGTCATCATCAGTGTCTGATCTGCTAGCATCACCCTGAAAGAGAAACAGAAATGACATTTAAAGGCTAAAATTTTGAATTCATAATAATGAATCATCATATTTTCACATCAACCCAAATCCACACAAGGCCAGCATAAATAAATGCAGAACAAACTCAATTTAATTTGCTCTTTCAAGGGTATGCAGCTCTCTACCTTCTAATCTCATGCTTAGTTAACTTAGTTGTCCTCGTCCTATTTCCTGCGAGTCATTGAACTTCCTTTGCCTATGCATTTAAAATCAACAGGAAACAGCATTCTGACCCATTCAAAAGGGATATTTCACTAGAATTAAATTAGAAATTGATTTTATTGTGAAAAGTGGGCTTTAATACCAAAATGAAGCATTCTGTGTAGTTCCTGGATGGATTACGCCACACAAGCAAAGGCCACTGAGATTCAATCATTTATCCTCAAAAATCTCCGGTTGTAAATATGTCAAAAATAAAGAGTGACTGAAAAAAGCGAAAAAGGGAGAAAAGCAGGAATGAATAAGAATCATGTATTATTTATAACTTGTACGTTTATTTTTTCTTTCGAAATAGTGTGACTCATGTAGGATATCAGACCGAATCAGACAATCTAAGATTTGGTCAAAACCGAGTTGAGGCACGAGGAGTCACAAAAATTCCACAGAGGCCCAAGACAACAGGATGTCATAAATCAGACCCCAGCCTCTCTGAAGCAAGCCTAAACCTAAGCCCCTGTCACAGAACAGTTTTCAACATTAACACAAAAGAACACATTGACAAGTCCAAGGAGATTGTAAAATTTTGGGGCAAGTTATCAAGAATAATGGTCAAAAGCATGTAAGTGACAAAAAAATTATTTATACATGTATTTATATAGTTTTTGTAATTTTATTTATTGATTTATGCATATTTGGTTATGTATTTATGGATAGATGGGTTCTGTTTTGCTCAAAACCCCAATAAAACAAAATAGAAAAGGCAATAAAAACAACGAGTATACAGTGAAACCACTTTTAATGAAGAAAACATTTCATGTGAATGTTTGCTTTTAAAATTCCATGCAATTGCAATGAATATTCATGTATGATGTAAAAAAAGGGATAATTCTAATATTTTATTTATTTTGAGATCAATACTATTTGCATAAGGGAGAAAATCCTGCAAGTAACTTTATATTTCATGCATTTAAAATCAACATGAAATAGCATTCAGACCCATTTTACTTCTATAAGGTGTTTATTTGAGTGAAACAGGATATTTCAGTTGAAATAAATCCAATAGGAATTGATTTTATTGTGAAAGTTAGCTGTTCAGTACCAAAACAAACCAGGTTGTGTACTTCCTAGATGGGTTATGTCACACAAGCAACAGCCATTGAGATTTGCTGATTTATACTCCAAAATCTCCTATTGTAAATACATGAAAAAATAAAGAGTAATGGAAAAAGGAGCAAAAAAGCAGGAATGAATGAGAATGTGCAATATCCAGCAGTAACAACCGGAAAAGTGTGCGTAAATGTGTATTTGAGAATTGTGGGAGTAGGTAAAGTGTCCACTGTGTATGTGTGTGGTATTTGTACCTTTGAGGACAAAAGAGAGAGAGATAAAAGACAGAGGAAAAAAAGGAAGAACAGAAGGTTTGAGTGAAAGCGTTTTCCTATGAAACACATCATCACACCAGCTGCAGCTCAGCGTCTGTGCTTATACACTGCAGATGAGTCTCATCTACATGAAAATTACACACACAAACCAAACATACACCAATCCACACAATCAATATCTTTGATGTGACAACAATAACGAAAGGAAACAAGAGCGTGTTTTTCTTCATTTCCATGTGCGCTCAAAGGAAACCCCTTTTTTTTCATGGTGTGCATAATAGTTACTGTGCTGTAATTGAGTTACAGTGTAATAATTCTAGTCCTCTGATAGCATCTTACTCTTAACATGAAAAATTCCCTCTTGGAAACTCAATTAAATTCAATATGGCCATATCTAATTCAGTCGTGCAGAGGATTCGAGCAGATGTTGCAAACTAGAGGAAGTGGAAGTAGTTTTTTACAGTAGTTGACCCCCCAAAATTTAGAAACTTAAAGGAATAGTTCACCCAAAAATGAAAATTTGCTGAAAATGTATTCACCTTCAGGCCATTCAAGATATAGGTGAGTTTGTTTCTTCATCAGAACAGATTTGGAGAAATTTAGCATCACTTGCTTACTATTGGATCCTCTGCAATGAATGGGTGCCGTCAGAATGAGAGTCCAAACAGCTGATGAAAACATCACAATAATCCACAAATAATCTACACCACTCCAGTCCATCAGTTAAGATCTTGTGAAGTGAAAAGCTGCATGTTTGTAAGAAAAATAATCCTTCATTAAGGTCCATAGTCCATAATAACTCTTCCTCCAGTGAAAGTCCATCCCCTGTTGTCTCTCGCATCAAAATCCAAAGAGATATTTGTTTACAACTTTTTTTTTTCTGGACTGTTTTCACTTGTAAATGTACTTGATCGGTGCACATTTCTCTCCTGATTCAGACAAGATGATTTTTTCACTGGACAAAGCAACATAATGAATAGAGGACTCATATTTTAGATGGAAGCAATTGTTTGAAGTTAAAAATGCCTTGATGGATTTGTTTATTATAAGCAGCTTTTCACTTCACAAAACGTTAACTGATGGACTGGAGTGGTATGGATTACTTGTGAATTATTTTGATGTTTTTATCAGCTGTTTGGACTCTCATTCTGACGGCACCCATTCACTGCAGAGGATCCATTGGTGAGCAGGTGATGTAATGCTACATTTCTACAAATCTGTTCAACTCCTCTATATCTTGGATGGCCTGAGGCAGAGTAAACTTTCAGCAAATTTCCATTTTTGGGGTGAACTAGTACTTTAAGCCAAAATGTACAGTCTCACTGCATTAGATACAACATATCAAAGTACCTGGTATTTATTTTAAATAAAGATATTACAAGCACAATTTTCAAGCAAAACATTTCAAGAAAAAGCATATACTTTACTGTAGTCCCTAGTCCAACATCTGACATCTTACCTCAGCTTGAAAGCCCTCTACTAAGATGGCAACCAGTAAATTGAAGAGGACATAATTCCCAAAGGTCATCAAGGCCACAAAGTACAGAGCCGCCAAGGGGGAGGTGGAGGCCATGCCGTTATACAGAACAACATTCCAGTCCTCCTGGGTCAAAATCTGTAGACACAGGACGACTGTTAGCACAAATTGGTGATTTTTAGCACAAATATCACATTTTAAACTATTGTCTTACATTATGAGTAGATAAATACTGTAGCATTACTGTAGTTTATTGTACCAATAAACACCAAACTTTGTCTAAATGCTATTAAAAACATCAAAATGTTATTTATTGATTACAACAACACCTTTATGTGTACAACATACCTTGAAAGAATCAGTATTTTGGCTATAATGATTAATGGTGTGTTTATATTAACAAAAATATATTTCATTGATATACTGTATATTATTTAAAAACATTAAAAACCAAAACTGAACATTAATGAATAAGTAATTAATGTGCATGACGTAGACATTTTATGCCAAATTATTCTGACTTCAGTGAACCTACCTGATTTACAATATTAAATCTACATTGATATAATAATAATAATAATAATACAAATAAAACAATAATAAAACATAAATAAATTATAATAAATTAAAAACTAATAGAAATATTAGTAATTATTACTATTTTATTATTATTGTTATCATTATTATTATTGTTGTTGTTTTTTAATTAAACACAAATTACAAGTTTAATTTTTAAAATGTATTTTCTTTAAAAATACATGCTATTTCCACTAATAAAATATTAACATTATTCTTACTACATCAAACCTATTAGGCGTACAATATTTAATCTACAATTATTAATTATATATCATCATCACCACCAACAACAATAACAAAGTAATAATACTTTGTATGTATTCAATAGTATTATTATTATAAACAAGTAAAACAAATGTAAACTTTCTTTTGGCTCATTTTAAATTCAACTGCTAGTTTGTTTTCACTCCAGCACATTTCACACAGACATCCACAGCAGAACCTGAACTCATCTCTGCTTCTTCCTGCAGACTGATTTAGAACTGAGGAAAAACAGCCGCTTCAGTCTGGAGTTTATATTCTGCTTACAAGCGCGCACACACACACACACACACACTCCCACCCACACCGACAGAAATAGAGATTAGGGAAATTAAAGGCTCCCGATACCGAAGAAACCCTGACTCCGATGGCTTCCCTCAGGGCCTGGAGTTAATACAGCACCATATCAGTATTTGCACAAGTGTCACTCCCGGTGACCTCATCACACTACCCAATACTGCAAGGAGAGGTCTGATGACCTCATCATGTCTGCAATAATATAGGGCAGGTTTCGATGACCTCAGCAATTACAACTCTGGCACAACTTGTAGAAGTTTAAATAATCCCAGTCTTAAAAGTCCGACTGACACACACACAAACACATACATTCATATACAGCAAACCTGAGCCGCTGCCTAATAGACAGAGATGACCGCAAGAGGATTTGAGCATTTAGCCGTATTATATAATAATGTTTAGAAGGCGGAACAAAAATATAGGTTTGCTTAAATACTTAACAAACAGTGTAAAACCAAATTATTTAAATAATTGAAATGGCTTCAGAAATGACACCCATTTTGCTCTGACACCCAAGGATTTGTTACTTCATTTAGGGGAGGCTAAATACCCACAATCCATTGCCTCAGCATTTTTGCAAAATGCTGCTGTTCCTACATTGAGGAGTGAGTATTTAATCAAAACTTGCCTCTGAAGACTAAAAATGCTATTTCTGGACTATGAATACAACCCTCTGTAAGATTTTAATGAGTTCAACTGTCAGTTTAGTGACCGACAGACTCTTGGTGGTCAGCAAAATGTGCAGATTTCAGGAACAGCAGCTTCAAAAACTAGTTGTGTAGTGTTTTATCTTTCATTAAAGAGGACCTTTGTTACTTAAGCACAAAAAAGTAGTTCAATCATGACAATTCTCTGAACATTTTAGCATGGTGATGGATATGACAATGTTAATGTATTTGGTCTTGGCGGAACAGATCTGCTACGCTGCTGCTGAATTGCTGCTGCTGTTGGTTATTGCTGTAGTTGTAGATTATTGCTGCTGCTGCGAGCAAGTACAGGAACTTGCTACTGCCAATGCATACGGCGATACAGTGCCATGAGTATTTAAGACATACTGCTGCTGCACAAATAGCATATAAAATAACCCCGTAGCAGATCTATACAGGTGGAGCTGGGGAAGGTGGAGGGTTTCAGAGAACTCGGAAAGCGCGCTGCAGGAATCTCAAGTGAATGCTAGCCAGCCATATAAATGCAAGGCAGTAAGCTCATTGGCTGCATATGCAGCATGAACTGATCAGTTCAGCTTGTGCCAAGTCGTTTAACTCTCTGAATATCATCAGTTACGTTAACACCCCTTCAGCCTGCGCCATCTAGAGTTTCATGACTGAACTATATTTCACCCTGAAGTATTTCTACCTGTTATCAAAATATAACATCCATATATTGCTTATTAAATAGTTTTTTAGGGACAATCTTCTGACCTGGAACACGGTGACGATGGCCCAGAGAAGTGAGTCAAAGTTCTTCCTGTCTGACACAGTGTCTCCATTCTCCAACCGCAGAGTAAACTTACACCCAAACAGATGCATTCCCAATATACTAAAACACAGAAGACAAGAGAAAAAAAGGGAGTGACAGACATGAGAAAAGGTTGCAAAACTAAAAACATATACTGCATTAAATGTAAGAATATCAGGGTTATTCCTTGGTAACAGTGACATTTGATTCCAACTTACAACTGATATAATAATTATTTTAATACAGAACTTTAGTCAGATTATTTGAAAGAGCTGTTTAGTTTTTTTAATTAAAACTGTTTTAAACCTGCAAGTTCCCTTTCATGCCTATTACATTTTAATGTGTTATTAACAAAGAAATAAAAGAATTTAGTTTTTATTGAAACTAAAATATCATACTTTCACTGTCAAATGTATTTATTTTCCTAAAAATATTATGTAAAAGGCTGACATGTGCTAGTTATGGGCGAAATTATCCATTATGACAATGTACACTAAAGGTGAATACATATTATGTATTATGATTACTTGACTTTATTATCATTAAATTAATTTAAAGCTATTAAAAAACAATCATGACTTTTTCCCTCAGTAAACTCTCGCTTATTAATAGTTAATAAGGTAGTTGTTAAGTTTAGGTATGGGGTGGATAAAAGGACCTAAATATGGTCATGCAGAATATGTGCTTTACAGATACTAATATCTAATATCTGCATGCTAATAAGCAACTAGCTAAAAGCGAGAATTGGACCTTAAAATAAAGTGTTACCAAATAAACTTACTTCATTTTAGCTACGCAAAGGCAACATTTCTCATTTTTGTTTAGTTTAAGTTGAAAGTACTCAAATAACTAAAACTAAATGAATTAAAACTAAAAACTAAAACCAACAAAATTACTAAAACTTGAAATTAAAATGAAGAAAAAGAAAGAAAATATAAAAAACGAATTCAAAATCTTAAAAAATAAAACAGTATATCAATGTATTAAAAAACACTGGTATTATGAGTACATTAATCACAAAATCGCTGTGATGGGATTGAAATAATGTTGAGCTTGGAAAACGCGACTTCTTGAGTTCCCATTTTAAAACGAAATGAATGACCAATCATACTCCTTCAAAAGTACTGAAAAACCAACTGGGAAATAATAACTAACACTATAGTATAGTAAGACTCATTTGCTTTCCGTCAGTACTTCTTATATGGAAGAACTTTCATACAAACCTAAAGATGAAGATGAAGAGCATCAGCAGCATGCAGAAGGTGGCCACATTGTCCATGGTCTTCATCAGTACCACCAGCTGCCTGCGCAGAGCCGGGAGGAACCGCACCAGCTTTAGCACCCTGAGCAAACGAAACGTCCGCAAAACCGAAAACCCTCCATCCGCTTGTCCGACGATCTCACACACACTGTAAAACCCAACAGACAGAACGTGTGCGGTCAAAATACACAGTATTTACAACGAATGTACAGCAAACAGAACAGCACAGAACCTGATGATAACGATGATCCCGTCAAAGATGTTGTAGAGGTTGCTGATGTAGTCGAACAAACCGCAGGCCGAAAGCTTCAAGAGCATCTCTAACGCAAACAAACTAGTGAAGACAATATTACTGATCTCCAACACGTCTGTCAGCTCATCCGGCTGAAAGAGAGAACAAATATACAATATTAATCCAGTTTTCTGTGATACATCATAGTAACAACTAGTGCTGTCAAACGATTAATTGCATCCAAAATAAAAGTTTTTGTTTACATAATATATGTGTGTGCACTGTGTATATTTATTAAGTCTATATAAATACACACACATACGTGTATATATTTCAGAAAAGTATGTTATGTTTATATATTAAAAATATTTATCTGTAATATAAATTATATAAATATATACATGTAAATCTTTTAAAAATATATATTGTATGTTTGTGTATTTGTATATACATAATAAATATACACAGTACACACAAATATATTATGTAAACAAAAACTTTTATTTTGGATGCGATTAATCGGGATTAATCATTTGACAGCACTAGTAACACCTAATGTATATTTATGTGAACCTGTATGTCTGACAAAAAAAAAAGACAAAAAAAGCACACTTCTTCTTAACAAGTCATGTGATCTGAGGCATTCACATCTGTAACACATACACTGCTAACACGAATGTATACATTACAAAAGCTAAACTACAGTGTTGTTACTGTCATGCCATTATATTTATGCTTCTCCTCTTTCTCTCCATGAGGCTTTATTTCTTGTGGAGGAAGAGCAGGCGAGCGCTGTTATTACCTGCGTCTAGTGTAATGTAAATAATCATTTCCCTGGCAACAGTGTGAATGTCCTCAAACCGGTTAATCTCAGACTCCTCTCAGTCTCACACAGACACACTAATCCTAACCAAGGGGGTTAATTAAATGCAATAAGAGCCAAAAACATGCATAGAATCACACCGCAAACACAGCGCTGTGGGATCATGTTGTGTTACAATGAGTGATTTTGACACTGGGGGATTTATTTGTATGTGCCAGCAAAAAAACAGACACTAGAGGAAACCGGTATTGCTTAAAGTCACAATTTCATTTCAGGAGATTAACCGAGGTATTCATTATGGTGGTTTCTCTTATATGTTCATATGTTTCCTCTTACATATTAGATGTTAAACTTACCAGGAGAAAGTATTCTGGGTTTTTAAAGTTTTAAGTAAGTTTTAAATCAACTTACTTTTGAGGCACACAATCAATTTAAATTTGTAAAAAAAAAAACTATAAATTTAATATAAATTTAATCCATTTAAATTAGGCCAACATGAATTTTTGGTCACAAACAAATTGCACAGATGCAATGGATTCAGATCCAAAATGACACAGACACACTGGAAATTGCAAGTGTTATTATTTTTTAATCTAACATCATCCATCCATTTAATTACATAATTTATTTAGGTACTCAACTAAAGCTTAGTCCTCATTTTCAACTGGAACAAATCCTTTTAAACATAATATTTCCCTTTAAAAATTGCTATTCCTATTCCTACTACTAATATATTATTATTATTATTATATGTTCAAAAGGATTTGTTCTGGTGTTGCTGTATTAAAAATAAGGATTAAGCTTTTGTAGAGTACTATATTAAATAATAATAATAATAATAAAAATTATAATTATTATTATTTAATTATAATTATTATTGTATGTTCAAAAGGATTTAATCTGGTGTTGCTGTATTGAAAATAAGGATTAAGCTTTTGTAGAGTACTATACTAAATAATAATAACAATAATAATAATCATAATTATTATTATTTAATTATAATTATTATTGTATGTTCAAAAGGATTTGTTCTGGTGTTGCTGTATTGAAAATAAGGATTACGTTTTTGTAAAGTACTATATTAAATAATACTAATTATTATTATTATTATTATTAAGTAATAAGTATTATATTATTATAATCAAATGTTTTATTAAATTTTTTACGCTTTATTTAATTTTTAAGCTTTATTTAATTTTGTATAAAAGTTTTCCTCTTTTAATTATAGTTTATTTAAATACTATTATAATCAAGTTACACGTTTTTATTTTGGCGTATGTAGCGTATGCAAATCTGAGTAGTTTGTGAAACTGCTGAGACCTATATGTGGGATAACTGGTGTTTATTAGAAACAGCTCAGATGTTAATTAATCTCATGTGTGAGGTGTGTGTAAATGAGTGTATTATTTTCACCTGCTCATGGTACTCCACTCCCATGCTGAGTGTATTGATAAGGATTGCTATCATTATCCCTCTGTTGAAGTACTCGCTGTCCACAATCCGCCTCAAAATGGCTCTGGCATAATGAACGCACATACACACACAGTTCTCATTCCCAGACTCCTTTTCATCCAAATCCTGGTTTCTTTTGCTCTGTTCTGAGCTGATGTCGGGCCCCTGTTTCTCTGGGTCCGATTCACTGTTGGAGTCGCAATTAACACCATCGCCTTCCTGGGCACAAATTGGGCAGGAGGACGACTCTGAAGACACCAGTCCCACCCTGCTGTCCACACACACACTCGAGCACGTGCCAGGATGCACACCTGCAGTGAAGGATGACAGTATTTAATATCACACACAGGAAGGCTGGGGCTAGATGTCTCAAAAACTGTCCAAGTCCAATTTACGCAAATGCTTTGCTACAATGTTTTCCTATGTGTCTATACAGAAAGTGACTGTCAAAAATAAATCTACTCCTACTCTCTAGCTTGCTTCCTAATCTACAGTAGTTATCTAATAAACCTGGTATTGCGTTTTACGAATATTGTTGGTTGTAACGAATTGCTTTTGTAAATTGCTTTGTATAAAAGCATCTGATGAATGCATTCATGTAAAATGTAAATGTTCACTGCAGTAAATAGTGTGACAACTAGCCCCAGCCTCCCTGTTACATAAAATATTTTGTGCTATAACCTGATAATTAGGCAATCCAATGATGCATTAGTGACCTGATTACAGTTAACAACATTGTGATTTGCTTTGATAATAGTGATCAATACTGTCCTTCTCGCATAATCAGGGCAAAATCTGTCTGCATCTGCCTTTTATGACCCATATGCTGTGCCTGAGCTTCAATCATCTCTTACATGAAATTCACAATGTGCATGATTCACATATTAGTTCATTTCAAATATATGGTATACTAACTGATGACACCAAACCCAGTCAAAAAGGAATATGTACAGGACTCGGGGAGTAATTTTTTAAATCATAATTTGGCACCAATTCTTTAATTACCCTAATGGGATCAAACTGGACTTCTCTAAGATTTTATAGTTTTTAGTGTCAACTAAAATCACCGTTCTGCAATTTACTGTTTTTGTCACCACTGTTATTGTGTTGGAATAATATGGTTACTAGGGGAGCTATAGGATTTTTTCAAACTGTTGTGAAATTAAATGCTACTGGCTTTCTAAAAGGTGTCCCAACAAACAATCTGATTTAATTAAAAAAAAGCACTTCTGCTCAAATGTTTGTGGTCAGTAAGATTTTTTTTTTAAAAGAAATTAATACTTCCATTAAGCAAAGATGCATTGAATTGATCAAAGGTGACAGATTTTTAAAGTGTTACAAAAAATGTATATTTCAAATAAATGCTGTTCTTTAAACTTTATATGCATCAAATAAGCTTGTAATGCATCATGCATAATTGCCAACATAATAATTAAATTACTTTTAAAATGTTAAAACAGCTATTTTAAATTGTAATTACATTTAATAGCATAAGAGATTTATTTCAAAAACATAAAAAAATCTTACAGACTATTTTGAACAGTAGTGTACATCAACACAAAATTACAATGTAAGGATTCTGTACAATATTTATTACAAAATAAGGATTTCCTTGCTATTTTTTCCTATTGTTAATCATAAAAAATGTTTTGTGTTATGTTAAAACTCCATAAGAAATTTTGCATTAGAATTATTTCGGTTCTGATGTAAATATTTATTTTTTAAATTAATTTTAAATGAATTCCTGTTGGATTTTTTAATGGCTGCTGGCATTCAAAACATGTCACTGTAAAATAAAAAGACAAAGTTGGTTATCCATACCTGACGAAGGGCAACCTGACCACTAAAGTTTTATGATATCCAGAGCTAGGTAGATTACTTGCAAATTATAGTCTGTTACTGAATACAGATTACATGATGAAAACTGTAGTTAGTAACATAATCTAGATTACTAATTTCAGGTAATGTAATCTGAATATTTAAAATTAGCCTACTATTAGATTACATTTTTTTTTTAAATCCAACATGTTATAAACTTAACAATAAACGTACCATGCAGTGGGTTTGTGAGTTGATAAAAAGCAAATGATTAATTAAATCATAAAAATGTAAAATAAAAATTATTTAAATACTTAACACTAAAAATACTAAAAAGTTTACCTGCATGTCAACGCATGAGAGAACTGCAAACATTGCAAATGAGTTGTTAAATTATTTGAAATATTAACTTCCTTACAAATATTTCAAGGAAATATTTTATCTTAATGAACAAACATTAATAAACATGAAAACAAAGAAATGACATGTCCAATATTTTTGACCAGACTTTCAGAATCAACAATTACTGAAGGTCACTGGAAATTATGAAGACAGTGTTTCATAGCTATACATCACCAGTGTTTAGTAACTTGGATAATTATTTGTTATTTATTATTTGTTAATTGCAGCGAGAGGTGCTTTTATCCCCCTTAAATTCAGAAGCATGGTTTGCAAATTTATTTACACAACATTTATGAATATAGTCAAAGCTAAATGGTATGACACAACAGGATTTTAGAAAGGAAAATTGAAAAGTTAAATCTAAAAGAGAAAAAAAGAATTAGGGAGAATCAATTAATTATAAATCATTTACTGCCATTGCGTTAATAATAGTAGTCATGTAATCCATAAAAAGTAACTGTAATTTGATTATGAGCATTTTAAAATGTAATCTACTATAATTAGAAGTACTTCATTTTTGGAATCTGATTACGTAATCCATATTGCATGTAATCAGTTACTACCCAGCTCTGATCTATTAATATCTATTAAATGCAGTTGCACAGAAGTGTGGGTGAGGATGTACCTTACCTACAGGATGCTGAAACGAATCAAAGTTATGAATACATTTAGACCAAAATGTTGAAAAAACCCAAGGCTTCCTCACCAGGTAATTTCAGGCAAAAGTCAAGAGGCACAAAAATAATGACTAGACAGAGTGTGAGTTTGTTCAGACGGTTCCCTCAATTCAATTTGGAATTATTAGGGCATGTCAAGTGCGCAAAGCCAAGGAAAAAAATTAAGAATTCCATTATCTACGTTATTAAGTTAAAACCCCAGAGACAGAATTTACTCTTAATCCACAAACTCAAAGTCAAGTTTTAAACATGACAGAAGGGCCAAAACACTTCACATTTTGCACAGAGATTGCAATACTTGTACTTAATGTTTTTTACGTACAGTGGCCTAAAAAAGTATTTGTACCTTTAAGCCACAATTCATATAGCTCACACTTAATTTAGATAGTCCACTTTAGACATTCTACTAACTATAAGTAACTTTGTAACTACATGTCAGTCAGCTAACTGCAGTTAATTTGCAACTACATGTCAACTAACTCTCATTAGAGTATTAGTAGACTCTTAGTTTAGGGTTAGGGTTAGTAGAATAACTTGGCAATACTTGCAAAGTTGACTTGTTGACTATATTCGATTTTTCTGATGTGTGACCCATATCCAATCTCTGCATTCACAATACACACATGGTGAAGTAACCCAGGGTAAATGTACTGACATGGTTGCCAGGTCTACAAAACAAAAACCAGCCCAATTGTGTTTTTCTGGGTTTTTCAGGGGTTCACCTCTTTTGAAATAGCAGGGAGGAGAGATCACTTTAACCTGCAGATTAAAAACTAGGGCTGGACGATTATGACAAAAATCATAATTGTCGATTATTCCCTTGAAATTGTAATTGCGATTATTAATTATGATTATCACAATTTACATTGAATGATGTTTATACCATTGTTTGATGCAACTGCATGCCGTATTTTCATATGAAAATAAACAAGCTGAAAACACTCTGACTGAAAAACCTTTAGTACTTTTCTGTAGTATTAAGCCTCAAACGTCAAATATACATCGGATTGGTTTCTTCTTTAAATTATAAAAAAAGTACAAATATGAATGGTATTATAATGTCATACTAAAATTAAAACTAAAACAATGGAAAAACCCTTAAGATAACATGTTGAAAGAAAAAAACATATCTTAAGCGTGCAGAATAACATAAGTGGACTTTGAACGATTAATTGCCGCTTTGAACGATTATGTAATTGTGGCATCCATAATTGTAATTGCAGTAATTGTGCAGCCCTATTAAAAACAAACAACCCGTAGCAATAGTGCAAAAGTAGCCTAGTTCCACAGGAAAACCGCAGACTTGGCAACACTGCTTACTGACCCGGAAAAGCGTCCACCTGATTTGACGTCATTCACCACTGTCGCTTTTTCAGTGATGTACAAATCGCATTGACAGGAGAATATCCGATCTGTCTGCTTACATGGCAGATGCAAATGCACATATCCAAATCATATCAGATTTATTTCCACATATGAATAAGGTCCGAAACCGATCTGAAAATATTGGAATCCATGCGCTTTTTTCCTGCTTACACGTTCGAGGGTCATTTCCGATTTGTGCCACATAGGACAGTGTTTCTCAACCCTGGTCCTGGGCGCCCCCCCATCACTGCCCAATTTATATGTCTCCCTTATCTGACACACCCATTTCAGGTCGTGGAGTTTCCTTTAATTGCTTTTTTCCTGCTTACACGTTCGAGGGTCATTTCCGATTTGTGCCACATAGGACAGTGTTTCTCAACCCTGGTCCTGGGCGCCCCCCCCATCACTGCCCAATTTATGTGTCTCCCTTATCTGACACACCCATTTCAGGTCGTGGAGTTTCCTTTAATGAGCTAATGAGTTGAATCAGGTGTGTTTGATTAGGGAGACACACAAAATGTGCAGTGCTGGGGGGCGCCCAGGACCAGGGTTGAGAGACACTGACGTAGGAGGAGAAAATCGGAATTGGGTTGCTTGAACCATGTAATGTAAAAGCAAATAAATAAATAAATAAAGTGTTAGCAGATAGGAAGCAGACAGTCTACTAATACTCTACTCACTGTTAGTTGACAAGTAGTTGCAGTTACTTATAGTTAGTAGAATGTTTAAAGTAGACTATCAAAATAAAGTGTTACCTTAAAGGATTAGTTCACTTCCAGAATAAAAATGTCCAGATAATTTACTCACCCCCATGCCATCCAAGATGTTCATGTCTTTCCTTCTTCAGTCGAAAAGAAAATATATATTCATATATATATATACTTTTTAACCACAAATGCTCGTCTTGCACTAGCTCTGTGATGCGGTTGTTTGACTTCACGCATTACGTAATCATGTTGAAAAAGTAATGCGTGGTTAGTTCTTTGTGTACTTCGGTTCAGAAAGGTAGGGTAGGGTTTTTGGGGTCTTTGCACATTCGCTTTGTAAACACTGGGTCAGTACTTCTGCCTACGTTTGGATGACATGGGGGTGAGTAAATTATCAGCAATTTTTTATTCTGGAAGTGAACTAATCCTTTAATATATGAATGCAATTGCATTAGATAAATATAACTTATCCATGTTCTTACCGTGCTGCAACTTGTAAGTATCATGGTATCCACTACAAACGGAGATCTTCCTGCCGTAGAGTCCATGATGGAAAGCCGGTGCTTTGACTCCACCTGTCGAGTGTGAGCGAGTATGTGATTTTGCGTATAGTTTGGAGGGCAGGATGGTGGGATAGTTCATACCGAGCCTCAAACCCTTCAAATTTTGTAGTGCAAGAGGGAGCGATGGGGTCTTTTTGGAATTCTGAGCATCTCTATCGAGATGGAGTGTTTTCATTTCTATGCCATTGTTGATGTAATGTTGATGCTGATGGGGATGATGATAATGCAGCATACAGTATTGGGTCGGACCCATCTTTGTCCCATTGTCACTCCAATATCCATTAGTCCCGCCCACTGGGAGGGAGCTGCTAGGATTGGCCACACCCCTGCGTCTCTTGTGGCATAATTCGCCACAGAGGCGTGTGGCATGTCGGAAAAGTTTGCGGCAAATGTGGACGAGGTATTTCAGCATTTCTTCGTAGCAGGATCCCGGTTCAGCCAGGCTAGCTAAGGTGGATTCGTTACTACGAAAACGTGCCCGCTGCTCCTGCATCAGCTGGTTCTCACGTTGTTTGGTCTCGGAGAACTGTGTTGCTATGACAACGAGGCAAAGGTTGATCATGAAGAAGGAGCCTACCTGTGGACAAAACAAAATATGAGTATATAACAGAGATATTGAAAAGAATAGTCCAAAAACATTGCAGGATTACGAGGTACCTAGTATTTATTACATTTCATGACCTTGACAGTCTTCTCAACAATAATATTGCGATTTGTATGTCATGTTTATGAAGACTAAACTTAAAGAAAAGCTAGAAAACAATCTTCTCTCAGAACTGGCTAAAATTCACAAATAACTACAAAGAACAGCAAGTAATACATTGCATTAAATGTGACATTTTGAAATAGAAAGATTGAAAAAATCAAATAATGTAAAACATAATCCAACTATCATTGTTTTATTTCCAACTCTGAAAAAAAAAATGTTGTATCACTTCTGAATGATGGTCTAAAAAAAGTGTACTTGTCAAAAGTTTGGGGTCAGCATTTTTTAAATTAATGAATTATTATTATTTAAAATTTTTTAATACTTTTCACAAAAATATTAAGCAGCACAACTGTTATTAACTGTTATTAACAGCTGTTATTAAGCAGCACAATTCTTATTATTTATTATTAACATAATAATAAGAAATTTTTCTTGAGCAGCAAATCAGCATGTTAGAATGATTTCTGAGGAATCATGTGACACTGAAGACTGGAGTAATGATGCTGAAAATCACAGGAAAAATTACATATTAAAATAGAACAGTTACAGTATATTGAAATGCAATAATATTTGACAGTATTTCTGTTTTACTGTATTTCTGATCAAATAAATGCAACTTTGATGAACATAAAACATAACATTTGACTATTCCTAATCTTTTGAACAGTAGTTAAAGCATAGGCTATTTTATGGGAAATATAAATATTTTTTGTATTTTCTAATTAGCAAAAGTAGTTTTAAGGTCATTTTTTGTAATGTATCTAAAAAAAACTGACTAAAAGTTACAAAAAATGTTTCCAGATTTAAGTACATGTAAATAATGTTGTACAATCAAGAGCCAAAGAACATTTTCTTAATCACTGTTAGTACATTTCATGCACAAACTGTGCAAATCAACCTGTTTAAACACAATTTTGTCCTGAGTTTTAAAGTCGCTAGAGCACACCAGACTGAAAGAGGTTAGCAGAAATTGTTTAGTACTTAATTTAGCTGCATATGATTTTTTAATAACTTATACAGTTTAGTTGTTACTGATCACTAAACTTGGTTATACTTGATTATAGGTTAAAACAGAAGAATGCGATTTGACTTCAGTAAGACATAAAATTATAGGCTAAGATTGTTTAAAAAGTATGATACTTTTCTTAGAAATTTAGTACTTACTGTAACTCAGAAGGTTTCTTAAGTACAAGCATTCAGTTTCAATATTGCTCAATTACAAATTCCTTAGAAATTATGACCGAATTTTCATCTCTTTAAGTATGGTTATCAAGTAAAACGACTCGAGTAAATTACACAGCTGATGATAGCAAAAGCCATTTCCATGCAATTAATAAAAGCAGAGACTCCAGCAGAGGTTAAAAGAGAGTAAGACGTATCAGTTAATTAATTACTGTGCACTTACAATGATAAGAAAGATGAAATAGATGAAGTTGTAAAAGGAATGGGCATCCATGACATAGTACATGATATCCACCCATCCCTCTAACGTGATGACCTGATGAGAAAACACAAACAGGATTCTACAGGTTACAACATCCACCATGCACGCAATCCTTAAAATACAGCCCTTCTATCAAGTGCCAAAACACAAAGGACATCTTCAGATAGTGTTCATCGCTTCCACAAAACTAGGTCAGGAAACTCTATGGAATGATAAACGTCACACTGTGGTCAATCGGATTACTCAGAAACCTGATAAATGTCCATGTCCATTCCCAATCAGGTTACTAAAGAATATGATAAATATTGTTGCCCTGTAGATTAGATTAGAATGGAACATGATAAAACTTGATTTCCTAGGACAGGTAAGTTGGTTATTGATGTAAGAGGATGCACTCTCGCTGTAGCCCCTGGCAACCATTCACTTCATTTTCTGACTCTGAAACTAAGTGTCTCTCGGCGCCAAAAGGATATGCGAGGATAAAAAATATCACCGCCTGCCAGACTGAATATATACTCAGCGAAAATTTTAATGAACAACTTGGAGCGGATCTCTAACATGCTTTCATCCGAGTAGAAAAAAAATAAGAATTCTTGAACTGCCTTCCTAAAAAATTATTGATGACTATGCATGTTTTTTTACATAAACTCAGTCAATACCCTTTCATCTTTTTGCCGACACGTGTACACACCTGAAAGATAGCAATCCAAGCATATCCAATGTTGTCAAAGTTGATAGCCCCATTATGCGGATTGTGTTCACTTGCATTGCATTGGTTGTAATACAAGTTCCAGTTTACACATCCATGATGAGGGGGATCTTTGAAAACAAGATCTGTGACATTATCAGCCGTGAGCTCACAATCAGCCCCTCCAACTCTGCGCTTCGGGATGTTGAAGCAGTGCAACATTCCGTTGTCCCGAGTGGTGGAGCAAATGAAGGGAACGTCATCGGTTTCGTCCAGTCTGTAGTATTCACTCACAGACTCTGAAACATTATACAGCCTGCAGAGAGACAACATGGAGTAAGTTACAGAGAAACACACACACACATTAACTGAAATAAAATATAAAAACCATGGTAATACTTTACAATAAGGGCCCAATAGTTACCATTTGTCAATGCAATAACTAACATAAACGAACAATGATCAATACTGTATATTTGTTACAGTATTTCTTATATTAATCTTTGTTATATTAATAAAAAAAACACACAATTGTTTATTGTTAGTTCGTTGTTAGCTCTGGTCCATTAAACAAAATTAACAGATGCAACTTTTAGTTTTAATAATCTTTTAGTAAGTTTTGAAATTAAGATGATCTAAGATTAATTACTGCTTAAGAAGTATTTTTCATTGTTAATTCATGTTAACTATTGTTAACAAATTATTGCGAAATGTTAACAAAAACACAAATGTTTATATTTCCCTTCTCATTTTAATTCAGTGCAAGCAAAATTAAAACTAAAATTATTAAAATCAAATAATCTTTGTTTAAAAAATAAAAAATAAAATAAATTTTTTAAAAGTTAACTAAAATGAAAATAAAAAGTGCACAAATAAAAAAATAATAATAATACTATAATAGTAAAGTATATCAATGATACTAAAATAACACTGGCACTGAAAACTGATTTTTTTTATGTGTGATGCATTATTTTGATTGGATTTTGACTGGGTAGAGATTTCCATCATACCATTTTCACATGATCTGCCAGAATGAAATTCACATTTATTGTAGTAAAAACAGATTTTTATTATAAATTTTGCTAATTAATTATTCACATTATTTATTAACTAAAGTCATTCCAACATTCATTGTCTCATATAATATTTAGTTTGACATCCTGAGGCTGGTGATCAATATTTTGTTGGTTTATTTATTTATCTAATCTAATTTATTTACTTGCTGTACTTTTTTAAAAACAGACAGCACACTGGTTTAAAGCAAAAATCTTTTTAAAAAGACCAATTGATGTTTTTGTGTACATTTTATCAATACACCAAACTCAAAACAGAATGCTAATTTACTTGACCTTTAATCTTTGCAAATTGCACTGCATTGCATTAAAGCCTAAAGCTGCCATGTTCCTGTCACAGAAATGTAGACAGTTTAAATCCTGTTCAAAACGATTGTATCATGAAACAGTTCTTTCAATACAATTATAGAAAAAATTGTAAACAGCAATTTATTTGATGTTAAACTAATACAAATTATATACTAATTAATGCAAATAAGCAACAAATCTATACATAACAGATCAAAACGGTACTCTTTTCAAACACAGCAAACAAAGTATCTGTATAAGGCATGGAGACATCAACCACTAATCACAGAATACATGACTTGAAATATAAGAATAAGTGATTAACTGAAGAATTTAAAATATTTTCAGATCTGCACTCACATCAGTAGCACTACATTTGTATATGAAGTTTCTGTTTAACACTGTAGCAGCATAATAGGCTTAAGATTCCTCTGACTAATGCTAACAGAAGCATCCCTCTGTCACCACCTCAGAGCTACATAATAATGTGCGATAGTGTGGAGCTTTTTGTTCTCTGAGCATTTACAAACCATTTGAGCCAGGAGAGCTTCTGCTTTAATCTGTCTCACATCCTGCTTATTAAACTGAGAGAGCCAGAAGAGCTTAAAGCTGAGCTATTAGGTAATCACATCATCTGCAAACATGTTTATATTAGGTTTTAAGAGAGGATGTTGAAGAAAATGGTCTGAGAATTGGCCCATATGTTACTTACCGTATCTGAAACTTAGAAGCATGCTTTTTTTTTTGTTGAGAAATTCCAATCATGCAACATGAAATGCAATATGTAAATGACTTAAAAAGAGACCTATGGGTATTTTTGTGTACAGTACCTTCTATCAATGCACTAAACTCAAAACAGAATGCTAATTTATTTGACATTTAAAATTAGCAAACTGCACTGCAATGCATTCAAATGTAGGTCTACCTATCATAGTCTAAAGTGGTCATGCTCATTTTACAGAGATGCAACCAATTCAAATATAATCTTAAACAATTCAACTATCCCATAGTCCTTCTGATACAATTTAAAAAACAAAACAAAACACTAACAGAAATTCATTTGCTGTTAAATTACAGTGGGTACGGAAAGTATTCAGACCCCCTTAAATTTTTCACTCTTTGTTACATTGCAGCCATTTGCTAAAATCATTTAAGTTAATTTTTTTTTCCTCATTAATGTACACACAGCACCCCATATTGACAGAAAAACACAGAATTGTTGACATTTTTGCAGATTTATTAAAAAAAAAAAACTGAAATATCACATGGTCCTAAGTATTCAGACCCTTTGCTCAGTATTTAGTAGAAGCACCCTTTTGATCGAATACAGCCATGAGTCTTTTTGGGAAAGATCCAACAAGTTTTTCACACCTGGATTTAGGGATCCTCTGCCATTCCTCCTTGCAGAGCTGAACAACAACTGCATATATTTTAGGCCTTCCACTGCAGATTTCAAGCCAGCACATTCAGAGGGCCTGGATCCAAACCATAACATTTGTCATTTAAGCGTTGTAGCATTTGAGATAAAACAATTCCCTCTTTTGTCACACAAAAATTGCCCAGAGGTCATCTGTTTTTTCGAGCTCATGCACTGAATGTATTATACAAATATTCTCCAGTTTAGTAAATCATTTAGAAATAATAATTAGAAATAATTTATTTTATAAGTTCTGTATGTAATTGCACCAAGGTTCAAACTGATATATTTTTGAGGACTGAAAGATGAGGGGATGGAGGACACTAATAGGACTGCTTTTCTCAAATTAATTGGGTTATTAAAATTCCTGGGAATCTTGATGAAAGGAAGGAAGGAAGAAAGAAAGAAAGAAAGAAAGAAAAAGAAAGAAAGACAAAAACCTTTACACCAAAGCATTTATACAAAGCATTATATAATTAAATCGAATTGCATTGTCTTGAAATGGTAATTAGTCAGGATAGTTGTTTTTTTTTGTAAAAAATGTATTAAAATTAATATACAAAGGAGTGGACTCCTTATGAAAGTGCCAAATCTTGTGGGCAACAGAATTAGCTGCAGGCTCCAAAAATAATGAGTAGATGTGCAAACAGACAAAATTTGCACATCTCATGGGATTCACTTAGACAGAAAGCTATTTTCACACCTGAGATAGGTGTAATGTGACTGCCAATTTTTGTATTTGTGCTGCAAAAAGCCACGGTAAACATTTATTAACTGGGTCATTCTATAAAACGGGTGCCTTTTCCAGTGTTATAAGGGAATTTAAAAGTAAATATTTATATGATTTTAAACATTTTATCAAGCAAACAATGTGTTTGAGAATTCATTTATTAGGTTGTGACATTTAAAGCCAAATTAATTCATTTAAATATATACGGTGATATAATTATGCCTTCATAAAGATAACAAGGTTCACTATTTTAGTTTAATCTGACATTATAAGCCTTGTGTTTAAAGTCATGAAACTACAAAGTGCTTCTTATTAAGCATTTCTAAAAAATATCCACATTTAAATTTTCAGTAATTTGTTAAACAAAATAATGGCAATAGGGTTGAATTTTTCACATTTGTAAAATGTAATGCTCATATCTCTATATCTATGAAAAAAAAAAAATAAAAATAATAATGTTTATTTTTTCATTAGTTTGTTAAATGTAATGCTCATATTTCTAAAAAAAAAAATCCACATTTAAATTTTCAGTAGTTTGTTATACAAAATACTGGTAACAGGGTGGACTTTTTCACATTTGTAAAATATAATGCTCATATCTCTATATCTATGAAAATAAAGGTTTATTTTTTAAATTAGTTTGTTAGACAAAACAATGGTAATATGGTTGAATTTTTTTAAATTTGACCTAACTGAAAAAAAAAGTTAAAAAGAGTAGACAGTAGCTGTTTACTTCTTTAAAGGAAGATGCTGTAAACTTTTTTGTTACTTTAAAGGAAACATATTATTGTAACAGGTTTAATGCAAAATCAAATGCTACCTTTTATTTGGTTTTCATGAAATCAAATTGCCAATACAGCAAAAACAGGTCAAAAGGCATCCACATAAAAAAGAAGAAAAATATCTCTTAAAATACAGTAAAGTATAGTAAAAGTTTACATGAGTTATTCAAAGTTATTAACAAGGCAGCTGCTTTGTAGAATGACAAAAAAGTTTCAATGAGAAACAAGACTTTTCTGAAGTAAAGGCCAATTCTTTCGAGTTTTGAATGCAGATAGCAGCAGCTGTACATAGACTGAAGTGGATATTGTAAGTGGTTTTTGACAGACAATGCAATAAATGTTGTATGCAAAAGAGAGCTTGATTTTTTTGAGTAAGAGAAGCATTATTGTAACAGACATTGCTTGGATAGTGTTGGGCTTTGGGGAGGGTGCTGGAGAGACGCAGCGATGCACCTGAACGGGTCAAGGCTGCTTTCAACACACTGGCTTTCTGGTATGCAGTACATCAGGGTGGACAGTTGTCAAAATGATTCACTGGTGCAAACTGTCTTTATAGATACTCATTATTCAACTCTTTACTTTGTACACTCTCTATGATCAATGAGGCCCTTATGGCATATATAATGTGAGAATTGATATCTTGTGTCAGCATACACAAAACAATATAACGCAACATTTATACTTGGCTTTGCTGTAATCTGCTGAGAAAATGTATATCCTTCTTCAGTTAATAAAGAGGTTAATGTTTTCCATTAAAACCTGGATAGTGGCCTTCAAACCCCCCCAAAAGTCATTCTTCCATCAGTTGACACAACATAAACAGGTTCCACTGAGGAACATGCCCATGTGGTTTCGGAGCATTTATGATTGCAGCAGCAATTTTGCAAACCCCTGCAATTTGCATGTATCGAGTAGCTTGCATTAAAAAGCACCGTTTTTTTGCACTTACATTCTGATGTTGCTGTCAAAAAAGCAACGGTTGCGCAGAAGCCCCGCCCACAGCTGCACACCAACAATTCCGAAGATGAAAAACACGAAGAAACAAAGCAGCAAGACATTTCCCAGCATCGGTAAAGTATCCAACAGCAACGTCACCAGGATTCGCATACCTACGAGACAGAGATACATGATGTGACGAATGTGCATTTAAAAAACACGTGCAATGAAGCGTCAAAGCCATCGAGGATCACTAGACACGTTTACAGACGAGACTGTGGTGTTACATTTAACTTTGATAACTCTGATCTGACATTCACACACTTCACGAACACATGCTCTCAGTGTCTGATCTGTATTCAGTAATTGAGCCAAGACATGAACACACACACACAAACGGAAACAGGGCTTTGGCTAACACTCGGTGGTTTGAGAATAATCGAATTGGAAACTTAACAGCCATGGGCTCTCACTCCTCACTGAGTCCAAAATCTATTACTGCTTTGCTGAACACACACACACGCGCGCGCGCAAACTTATTTGGTATGTGTTGACAAAAAGAGTGAGCTATAAATGGTAAGAGTATCCGTGCATGTCAAGAATTTACTGTCTCAGTCTACATTAAACAAAACAGACACTTACTTTCACTGCTGGACTCCATCCATGACTGTAACATACACCAGCACCTCTCTGAGGACTAATAGCATGTGTGTGTGAGTGTTTGTGTATTTTTTGTGGTCCATCAACTATATGATGTTGGATTGTGGGCACTTAACTGCAACAATCAGCATCAGTGACCATGTTAATACATCACGGGAGTCTTGTCTAGTCTGTGCGTGTGTGAATCTATAAATACAGCAGGCATGTCTTTTTTTTCAGACCAACTCCAGATCATTTGCTTCAAATCAATAGCTGGGTTGTAAAACAGTGACACTAAGAGAGAAACGAAAAAAGATATACAGATGGAAACAAAGAAAGGGAAAACAGTACTCACTGGGAACTCTGTTGATGGCTCGTAATGGTCTGAGAACCCGTACGGTTCTGATGGCAGAGAAACTAACGTTATGACCGTCTAAAGAATACTCCAACATCCTAAAACATAAACAAAAGAAATTCACTTTAACAAACTTGAAACACAATAAGGCAATATATAGAATAATAACGTAGAATAATAACATAATATATATATTTTATAATGACATTCAGTATATAATAACATAATATAATATAATATAATTTTTCAACCATTTGATGGCATTCAATGTACACAATTTATAGTATATTATTAAAAATCATATTCATAAAAAATTAACAGGCAGACCATTAATATTCTGATATTTTAATTAAGATGTGAAATCAATTTAATTTATATGTAAGACTATACACATTTAATTTATTCCTTGATGCAAAGTTGAATTTTCAGCAACATTACTCCAGCCCTCAGTGTGATATGATACTTCAGAAATTATTCTAATATGCCGATTTGTTACTCAAGAAATATTTCTTCTTATTATTACATTTTTAAAATAGTTGTGCAGTTTAATATTGTGATACTTTTTTTCAGGATGTTTTGATGAATCGAAAGTTCAAAAGCATAAAACACTGGACAGTTTAAATTGTTTCACACATTAGTTTTCACAATTTAATGTTTCACAATCAAACATCATGTTTTCTACACAGAGACTGCATTAAAATATCTATTTCTTACTGCTCTCGAACTCACAAGCTGTGCGACAAGATCCCTAAATGACACAACACAGCAGCATGAGCATATTTAAAGTCACTAAATTGATTTAGAATAATTATATGTTCTCCCCACTGAAAAGGGAAAAGTGGATGTCTATGCTATTTGTGACCTCGGACCACAAAACCAGTCACAAGTGTCAATTTTTCAAAATTGAGATTTGTACATCATCTGAAAGCTGAATAAATAATCTTTCCATTACGGTTTGTTAGGATAGGACAATAATTGGTTGAGATACAACTATTTGAAAATCTGGAATCTGAGGGTGCAAAAAAAATTCAAAATATTGAGAAAATCGCCTTTAAAATTGTCCAAATGAAGTTCTTAGCAATGCATATTACTAATCAAAAATTAAGTTTTAATATATTTACGGTAGGAAATTTACAAAATATCTTCATGGAACATGATCTTTACTTAATATCCTAAAGATTTTTGGCATAAAAAAAAATCTATAATTTTGACCCATACAATGTATTTTTTGGCTATTGCTACAAATATACCCCAGCGATTTAAGACTGGTTTTGTGGTCAAGGGTCACATTTATAATAGTTAGTGTTGGTTTAGTGCTGTTTTAGCCATACTTTTCACCTGACTGATAGGAAGACTAAGGGAAACTATTTGGTTAAGAAGTTTAGAAGCCTAATGGAAACACCAGTACACCAGAAATGTGTTACCTTTGTCCGAATTAATGACCACCGTGCTACTTCCTCACTCACACACGAGCACATTACCGTTTTAATGAGTTTTAATGAGTGATCATCAGGCACTTGAACTGATTTTTTGGACAGAGAGGAAAACTACAAAATCACTGTGTCAGTGACAGCACAAATGACAAGAGAGACACGATACAGACAGACACAGAGACACTTGCCTGGTGGTAATTGTCATTCATGAGCTTAGCTGTGACACATCGATTTGACATTAGAACTTGACCTGACATTAAAACTGGATTTGACATTAAACAAACACACACACACACACACACTGTAATAGTTAAGAGTTTAATGACTCGTCAAATTCTAGGAATCGCACACTAATAGTTGACTGATTTGTCACTCACCCAGCCATGACGATAAAGAGGTCAAGGCGGTTCCAGGTGTCGCCAAGGTAACATTTCGGACCAAATATGCCCAAGGCCAACATTTTAACCACCATCTCCACAGCAAAGAATGCAAAGAT